TTATCTGCGCGCGAATAATACACGCCCGCCTGCAGCACAAGCCTCGAATTTACTGGCTGGAGCGTCGGCGGGGTGTCGAGATTACACGAAATTCGCGTGCGGTACGATGATCCGCGGGACGACACGCACGGAGCGCGCACACACGCTCGTGCTTCGCTATGCGAACGGCGAGGGAAAAAGCGACGTTCCGCGTCGTCGAGACAACGTTCGGCCCGTGTCGCCTCGTGGAATTTGCGCGCCAATTTTTCCTCCACACTGTGCGCGCATCTTCCACGTGCAGCTTTCAAGCGGGCGATGCTTTTCTGCCCATCGCGCCCGCATGCGTTTACGCGTGTTACGCGGAATGAACAGCCTCTGCCACCGGTTTCCCCGGTTTCCACGTGTACACAGAGGAGAGCGTTCGAGACTTACGATAACACACGTATGTGGGCGAGCTCCATGCCTGGGAAACGCGAAGCTCCTCTCCGGCGGAGAAGGCGAAACGCGCTGACTGTTATGAATTATACATGTACACGGGCGAGGAGAGATCGATACGGTATTTCGAGAGTGGAATCACGCGGACGGGTTTAAGTCACATTTTATTATTGCCGTTTTGTCCGGACGCGCGTCTGCCGCGGAATAAAAATGCGCGACAGCTTGACACGAAGAGCGGCCGATCGATTCGCCGGGAAGACGCCGCGGATGAAAGCCGTACGAAAAATACCCTCGTATCCGCGCGATCGAACGGAGATCTGTATCTCCGTTCTGCTGTAAAGAATAAGGCCGGGGGACACGGCGTAGCCGAGAAGCGAACGCAACGCCGCGGGTTTAAGCATCGCCCTTCCGTTCGCCCTCGTATTTCGCGCACGCACTTCGCGCCACGCGGCGATGCATCCTCGCGTCACGTACCCACACGCCGCGCTCTTTCTCTATTCTTCCATATTTGCATACGCCGCCGTGACGTCATGACTAAGGGCAGCACCTTCCCGGCGAGACACACGCGGCATTTACGACCTTCTCGATAAAACTCGCCGTCAAATATTTAGCGATATCCAGCTGCCGCACCGGCGCCCATGAATTTCACAGGAGCGAACGATTATTTTCGCCGGAGTTCTCCCGCGGGAGCTACGAAGCGCGAGGTTCTTCGATCGTGTTTCGTCTGGCCATGAATTACCCGCGCAAAATTCCACACCGACCGGCTAATCGGTTGCAATTCGGGCACACCGCGTCGCGTTTTGACGTGGCGATGCGAAAAATAGCGTCGCCTCCCGCTCAAGCAATTTTTTGCCCGCGCTGTAATCGATAGTCGGAGACGCAATTGAATTATTACCCTTGACGGGGGATAAAGGCGAGCGGCGAAAAAGTGAGGGGTAAAAACAGATTCGCTCGGCGCGAGTTTAACGAATGCATCTCTCGCCGTCTTATCGCGGCGGCGAACGCGGTGGAAAAAAGCGTCGTGAAAATACGGGCGGGCCGAGCTGCGGCGGAAGGGGTGTTTACTCTCTATGTAAAAGCGGCCGTGCGTACACAACAGAGCGGACGGTGCGGACGATCGATACCGAATGAAACCCAAAGCAGCCCACGACGACACCGCCATTGGTTTACCACTCGTAAAACAAGGCGTCGTTCCAGGCGGGCGGGATGTTAGGGTCGAGCCCTCCGGAACCCCCGGGAGTTGACTCACGACGGCTTCGTTTCCTCCTCAACTTTCTGCAGGTACGCTGACGCGGCCGATAATCGATACCGGGAATCGCCGGCGACTGTTTTGCGCAAAATTAGTAACCGCTTCCCCGCGGTGGCAGGGGCTCTTCTGACGTTAGGTTGGGACGATAGCGTTATTTCCGGGCGAAATTCGAAATCGGCACGGATCAACTTGGATCTCTTTACCTGCGCTGTCCGATATCAAGTACCACCGCCGGTCGTATGCCGATTCTCCGGTTGGCCTTTCGCTGGCAAGCGCAGCGGGCCGTAAAATGAGATGTTAGAAGCGCGGCCTGCCGAATGAACAAAGTGCCGTTCATTCGGAACAACCGAAGTCGGCGGATCTCAGCCACGCGCTTTTCCACCGAGATCCTCGAAGAGAAGCAGCGAGACTTATTTTTCTTTCATATCGCTGCATTACGGCGTTCCGATCCCTTCCGGCTGGCTGTTTCCCGAAAATCGATTCCCACGTCGAACGAGAACGTCCGGGTGTCTCTCGTCGCGGAGGAAGAGATTTCCGACGGTGAAATTCCGCGGGCGTGCCGACGGATTTTCCGTGGAGCGCCGGGGTATATCGATGTGAAGCCGAGAGCACAGCAGAGGGGGAGAGAGAGAGAGCGGAGAATCCCCCGGATGTTGTAACAGAGTAGCACAAAGACGGGGAATGGAGCGGACGTTGTCGGGGCGAAACGAAGGGAACGAGAAAGTATGCGGCTCGATGCCGGAGCCCCGGGAACAACGGGTCGACATCGGGGGGCAATTACTGACCCGCGATGATCGTGTTTCATTGATGTGTAATAACGTCGTAATTACTCGCAGCCACGATCCGCGCTCGATTCCGGAAAATTCAAACGGTTTCGCAAACGACCGCGGCGGAGCTGCGTCGATCGCGACGCCGCTTGATATTTGCAACGATGTTTCTCGCAGCGCGCGACGGTGATAATGTATTCAACGATAACAAGATATCGTTAGCTTTCCGCGACATCTCGTCGCGATTACGCGAGAAGGAAAAAAACGAGACGAATGAAAGAAACTGTCGAATAAATACGAATGTTCTTTTTTTTTTTATCGCGATATCTCTGCGCGTAATCCGAATTTCTCGGCTGAGAGTTGATATATTCCTCGGTGTGACGATGTCGAGATGAAGTTCCCTCCTTTACGGTCTATAAGCAGGTCGCCTAATCTCCTCTCGTTCCTTTTTTCGCTCGCTTCCGTGCCCTTTCTGTCATTCTCTCTTGGCCTTGTTCCTTTTTTCCTCGCACGCGCGAAGACGATTTCCTTCCGCCGCTCGAGAAGCCCTTGGCTAACCGACCGCGTCCCGACGGTTCTATTTCTGAGCACGAACGCGCTCGAGAGAGATCAATCGCTCTCCCTGCTTCGAACGTCCCGAGCGTGGCTACTTCTTCCAAGGTATTCCGATTGTCAAACGACCTCTCCGAGTCCTTTTGCGCAAAGTATCGCAAGTATCTCCGTCGCTATGGACACGTGGGGCCCGTTTCGAAAGCAATTTAATTGAAATAACCCCAGACGCGGTCCTTTCTTAGCCGAGCTGTTTATGCTTATTCAGCATCCTCGTCTCGGTTCGATCTCGCAAGGGTCAGCCCTCGTCCTGGCTTAGCTCCCGGCGAGGAGAAGGAACAACCCTTGGTCCCTTTGACGCGTTTTTGTTCTCCGTCGCCAATTTTCCTTCGTCGACTACTCGACCAAGTCTTTGTGTCGTGCTCGCGTTACTTCTGTCCTCTCGAGGGCTCGAGTAGCCGGAATAAATTAAATCTTATCTCTCGGATACATACAGAAGGTGCATGCACGTCTTCTCGATGATGCATAAAATCGCAATAACAGCGGAATAATTCTTTGATAAAGAAAACACAGTTGTTGAAAAATATGTTTGCTTTGTTTCCTTTCTTTTCCAAGAGTGGCATTTATGCGGGACGCGATAAGAAATGTGGAGGAGCTTCATCGTACGCTTTTATTTTATTTCCAATGTCAGTGACGTTCATTAGTCCCTTATAGGCGGGCGGTCTCTTGACGTGTTCTCGCGATATAAAATCAGAAAAGGGCGCCTTTGACGCGACTGGACGCGCGGCGGGACATTAATCAAGCCTGCCGTCCGTATTTATTTTCCGCCGCGGACCGGGAAACAACGGGGAAATTGCTCGACGCGAGTCCCAAAGCCGAGGATTCGTTCCGAGTGAAACGCGACACGTCTCGAAACGACGAACTACCCAAGTGATCAGCGAACAATGAAGGGAGTCGTTCCAGGATCGTAAAACTCTCAAGATTCTCTCTCTCTTTCTCTCTCTCTCTTAAGCGTTTACGGCGAACAGAACTTTTACGTTCTTTCCATCACGCGGCCTTAACCGTTCCGACATCAAGGCGAATCTTAAAATTACTCCGAAAGAAGAAGAGGAGAAAAGGAGGAGAATTAAAGCGCAAAAGGGAAAAGATATCAAGGGATGTAATTTTTAGAGACATCGGATTCGTGTATTCAATCAGAACGTGCTCCAGTGATACGGTGTGCATAAATTTATAAAATGTTGTATACCTTTCATTAACCGACGCCGAGAGAGAATATTTCGAGCGCAGGGAAAGAGAGGGAGAGAGAGAGAAGCCGTGAAAATTACTCCCCCTTGTCCTGGCGTATTAATCACCCTCCCGTTCGCTTCGCTCTTCGACTTTAGGACGAGGGATTTTCGCTTGGCGTTGATGCCGAAGACTCGGCGAGCCGGCGGATTAATAATTTCCACTTGATATGAAAAAGAACGAAAACGCGAAATTTCACGGGCCACGATGAATTTCCAAGTCAATCAGCGACAGGATGTTTTAGAAATTTAAATATGCCTTCTCTCGTTCTCGCTTCTTTTTTTTCTCCCCGCGCGGCCAAAGACGGAACCGAGAGGCACGATCGATTTTATGTTAATCCCGCGACGCGAGTTGCAAAAATACCCGGTTCGACGTGACGCACCGGCAGATTCGCAAATAACGCATCCGCTTCGTGTCTCGTTGAGATAACCACGCGCCCGTATTCTCCTAGAGGGGAATTTAATATCGTTTACATAGTTTCGCCGCCAAGATTTATCCTCGGAACCCGTGTCCAGGCGTTTGCCTTGAAGCGACCCGACCGCCGTTGATGCTAATTCTCAATTAATCGCTGCGAGCCAGACACAGGCGCGTTCGAGGAAACATCGTGCGAGAATCCTTTCGCAACGTAACGTAAACCCCGTAACATTTACAGACGAGAATCGAAGTAATTAACGTCCCTCCCTCCCACCCGGTTCTTTCAATCTCGTCTCTCCTCACAGTCCTTCTCTGTGTTTCAGGTCTCCGCAAGGTGTACCCGTATTACTTTACCTTCACGACATTCACGAAAGGTCGATGGGTCGGCGAGAAGATACTGGAGGTCTTCGCGAGGGAATTCCGCGCTCATCCGGCCGAGGAATACGAGAGATGCATTCGCGCCGGCACCCTGACGGTCAACTACCAGAAGGTGGACGTCGATTACAGGTTACGGCACAACGATCTCCTGGCTAACGTCGTTCACAGGTGCGTGCGTGTCCAGGCGGGATCGATTTTCGCTCTCTCATGTCATCGCCGTGAAAGCCTCGCGAAAGTGCCGCGGCTATTGTGAGAAAGCGGCGTCTACTTGCGCAAAGTTTGATTGAGTCGCGGAGATTGACAATATCGAACGCCGGCGTCGAACTATGAAATAACCGAGGGGACCGGTTGCATCCCGCTCCCGCTGATCGCCGCGATCGTTTGCTGGCAATTTACTCGCGGAAATGTAATCTCGCGGCGTGTAAAAGCGCTCCTTCGCCGCGCGTTCCTTTCGATTTCTTCATCCGACGGGGACGGACAATTGGCATTTCGCGAACACGACGTTTCGTCTCCCGGCGCAGGACGGTCGTTTACGCGATCGCCGGCTTCTTTCTCCCTCCTCGTAGCTCGATGTGTGCTCCACGGAGGCTTACGCTCGTAGAAATCCGGGGTTAGCTCTTCGCCGGGAATTTACTTTGATTTCTGAAGAGCCCCGGGAATTTGGCCAAACCTTGCCGGGCGCGCGCAAATCAGTTTGGATTTAATTTGGAGAATTTCCCCGCCGGGTTATCCGCTTCAGCTCACGCTCGCGCGTAAAACGTATCGTTGTGCGATCGGCGCGATATTTGGCTGATAGGATTATCATAGCGCTGTGCGCGTAGATTTTTCATCGTCTTCCCGTTCACGCACGGAAATCGGCCGTGTATGTGCATAACACAAATGTGCTTTCATTACGGCGTATTTATGTTGTTGCATTACCCTGTATTATCGTCTAATGCGGACCAAATTTAGTCGATTTACGCAGCGCGGTAACGTATGCGTGAAAAGCGGCTGAAAAGCGGGCAACATCGGATTAACGTCGGATTACAGCGGATGCTTGAAACAGAAGTCTGAAACGTATAATCCGCGCATAAACGGTTTAATTCGCGCACGCTAGAGCGCAGCCGTTATTTGCCGCGTTAAAGGACGCTTAGCGGGGCGAGTCCTTCCGTCGCGACTTCCGTCTGAAACGTTTCGTTTTCCATTACGTCCCGAGACGCGAAATTGTGATACTACGAGTCGACGCTCTCAAGTCCAAGAGACTGTTGAAGGTTTCACGCGGAGTCAACATTTTGTCTCGGGATCTTTCTCCCCTTTCCTTCTCTTTTACTAATAAGACAGAATACAGACACAGTCGGCACATTCGCTCGTTTCGGTTATACGAGAGAGAACGATGTAACGAATGTTCGAGGCGCGACGCGACGGTGGGTCCGACAAACTCGTAAATCATTCGTCTCTTCTTACGAGAGCGGCAGATAAGAGATGCCCATCCTCCTCCGGAACCACATGGCCGGGACTTGTAATATCTTTGGCACGGATATATAAGAATCTATATTGCGTGCACACACATTCGCTCCGACGTTTTGAAACGCGCCAACGCTCAACGAGGCTCGCGCGCTATCGACACTGGTATCGCGCTCGAGCTTCTTCCTGTCATAAGAGAGAAAGAAACAGGCATAGAGAGAGAGAGAGAGAGCTGGTAGTCTTCCGTTCGCTTCGAGATAAAGCGCGCGGAAAATCCTCGGGATTCCGCGGCGGGCGCGCCGTAACGGCGAGGAATCTCGCATTTCCAATAGAAAGAAGAGAGACGGACGTCGGTGCTCGTGAATGTAGCGGCCCGGCCGACGTTAACAGGGAGAGATCGCCGATTCTTTTCGCCTTTCGAGCGAACACCTAGTGCACCTAGCGCGCGCATACATATTTGAATGACGCGTGACGTCGGCGGTGATCGAGTTTCTCCGCGACGTTTGAGAAGAGCGTGCTTTCCCGCTCGCACGGCTAATCGCGAGAGGGAAATCATCGTCGTCGCGCGAGGTTACAAGCGCGTTACGAGCTCTCCTTGTGCGCCGTTGATTACGCTTCGCCCGCTTTTGCATACCAATTCCACCAATTATCCCGGCAATTGTACTTTTCAGGTGCGCGCCAGCGACGCACCGACTATTCGCGTCTCGTAACGCGCGCCGCCGTTGTAATGGTAAATTCTAAAGTTCCGCAAATGTTATTCGTTGCGATAATCCTCGACTCGTTGTATCTTGTTTATGGTTCTATTTTTTTTTCCGGGAGAGAGAGAGAGAGAGAGAGAGAGCGTTTTTACGCGGATTTCTTGCGCGGTTTCCGATGGGAGAGCAAAGTTAACCGGATGAAGGCCGTTGAGATAGTCATCGCCACGCGCTAGCGATAAACAATGAGACACATCAGTTGCGCGATGACGTCACCGGCGGAGATCGGGAAGGAACGCTTTCGGTAGATAAGGACTCTTCTCCTCTCGATTGTTCCGGCTCTTCAAGGACGCGCGACTTTGTTCCCGTGATTAAGACGTGATTAAAATTCGAAATGCCGAAAGATCAAAGATTGCGTTACGTACAGTCCTTACTCACTTGCCGGCGAGGCCTTGCGATTAACGCGCGGCTGCGAAAATAATGTAGGTCGTATTTGCGTTATCGGAACAATTACGCGATGCTCGTGCGCGTTCGCGCGTTGCATAAAGATGCACTCGGCGGTGCAGGTGTGTAGAGAAGCGCGCTGGAAGAACAACACGCACCCGGCCGGACTATTACGATAGGCGAACAATTGCGGAGATGGATGGAAAGTAAATTGGCGAGGCACAATACAGAGAAGCGGGGTGCCGTCGTGTTTCTGCGCCGCGCTCTCGTGGCGCGACACTCGCGTGCGAAAACTCGCGAGCGCCCATTGTTGGCCGCGATGAGAACCGGCGATCTCTCGGCGAAGCGCGCGTAGGAACGTTCGCGCCACCATCCGGAGAGATTTTCCGCGGATTCTCGCACGGAAGAAACAACAGTTCTACTTCTTGGCGCCGGTTCGCCACTTCCCGTCGTATCGTCCGTGGCAAGAAGCGCGGGGGATCGTCGCGCAGCGCCTTGAAATTAATTAATTACCGTCTCGGGAGTAAAAGAAAAACGCGAAGAACAATCTCCGGGTTTTTCGTCACCTCTCGATAGACGACGACTGGCGAATAAACCGCGATAATCTTGCGCGAAAAATCCGCTGACGTCATCCGCTCGGATCGCCGCGGCGTAGAATTTCTGCCCGCCGATCCGCGAGGCCCTCGAGGCATATCGGGGGAACTGATTAGCGGGCCCGGAGGAGAGGAAGCGCGTTAGAACGGCTCGGATAATCGGCCCGAGGGCGAGAAAGCCTCGAAGGACATTCGAAGAGCGCGCTTACACGCGAAGGACGCATCCGTCGCGGTGGCGCAATCGCGATACGGCTGGGATAACGCGACCTTTCGCAATCGCCGTTCGGACATCCATCATCGTGAGCGCGCGGCGCGGATCGCTTCCCAAAGTTATGCAGATACACCGTGAATCACCCGGTATGTACGGCGGTGTTTACGACGACGGGATCGCCGACGCGGGTCTCACTGGCGTAGACGCGGATTAATCGATTCTTCGGCCGGCCGATCGCCTGTGTGCGAGAGAGAGAGAGAGAGAGAAAGGGGAGAGAAGCGTCTCTCGACGCGTTATCGTGTTTCTCCCGTCATCCTGGACGGCCGTTGCAAAACGCGCGTCCCAGATCCAGTCGGATCGCACCATCTTGTCGCTGAACGACAAGAAGCTTCGCCTCCACCCGCTCATTAAATGGAACGCAAATTGCGCGGACGTTCGACGATTATCCCCCCGGGACCCCCCCCCCCCCC